ATGCTTTTGTATCAACAACCGCAATAACACTATCTACCTGTGTCTTATTATAAAATGTAAATTCAATTGTGTTGTTGTTTGAAAATTCTTAGCTAAATTAATATTAATATCAGTAATTACTAGATTCTGACAGTCATTAGCTGCCATAATCGGATTTATAGCATCGTCTAAATCTTGCCGTGTTATTCCACCACCACCTGAACCTACATTAATGATTGAAATTTCATTACCTACATAAGTTTTTGTTGCATATAAATCCGATAGAGCAGTGCCATTAACAACCACCCTATTCGCTGATACAGTATTTGTATTGTTTAATGTCAATGTCATAATAACAATAATTAGAGAAATTGTTATTAGAATGTTTAACCGTAAACCGCTTAGCGATTTAGGATTAAATTTTCAATTTAATCGTAAACCTTTAAACCGAGATCTTTTATTTCCAGTATCTGTTCTGAAAGCATCGTGATAAACATCTCATCAGGCATATCATCTACAGGAATACTTGCTTCGGCTGGTTTAATACGAACTAACATCTGTTGCCCAGCGCGGGTATTAATTCCTGTATATGAACTGTCCGGAACTTTTTCAAATGAAAAACCGAAAATGATTTGTCTATCACGATATGTTTAAAATCAATTGAAATACTATGTTGATGAAATACTGGAAGATTTAAAGCTTTTCTTAAATGATAAGAACATTGACTTAATGAATTACAAGGATATCCGGGGAATAATTTAGATCCTAATTGAATTTGAAACTCAAGATCTTTATTAACATCATATATACCTTCCACACCGGAATCGTGAGATTGATGAGGGTGATAAAAACAACAGAAGCGCTTGTTTGCATATTCATATCCTAAGCTTGGGTCATCGGTTCTATAAAAGGTTATAAATGAAGCAACTAATTTAGAAACCGAGTGAATAACTGGAACGTTAATATCGCTATAACCTGCAACTGATTGCATTTGAGTACTGTAAGTTGTATAAGTAATTGGCAATCCATTTCCTTCTAAAAGATGCTTGACGTATTCATTATTTACATACATTATTATCAAGGGTGCAAATATCGCAAGATACGAAGGCGTTATTAAGTTCAAAAACTTTAGAAGTGTTTGTAGCATTACCGGCAGGAAGTGCTACACTAGTTGTAAAACGCTCTCCTATCGCATTGGCTTCTGTGTTGTCATCTGGGTTAATAATACAATCAGTATCATTATTTACGAGTTCAAGCTGTATTGTTAAATTACCCATATATTTCAAAGGTAAATACTTGAACTGAGAGAATAAACCCGATAATGGCTAAATCCGACTGTCATTTGATTTTTAAAACCGGCGCAAGTAACGGAATTAACTTCATAATCTAACTGTGATCCTACATTATTTACTAATTAATTTACTAACGTTTTAACCGAATCCTTCATTAGCTTCGTCTTTTCGCGCTCCTTGAGACATTAACTTTGAAAACATCTGATGAACACGATTATAATTATCAAAGTCTTCAATAACTTGATTACCAGCGATAATTCGCATTCGTCTGAAAAAGGAATAAGGCGGTGCTAATGGTCGTAATTTTCTGTTTCGGTCTTGGTCTAAATTTTGAACTGTAAAGAATACACGAACTGATTGAGGGTCTAACCATCCGTTATCCTCAGCATTTAAACTAAATTTTAACATACGGTTCCCTGATGTAGGCTTATAAACATTTGAACCTGACGGATAAAATCTTACGCTTCTTCTATCAACTATGTATGAACTACCCTTATTCAGTTTGAATGATAAATTGTCAACGAGAATATCCTCTGGACTAAATGTTTCCATAATATATAAACATTAGTAGAAATTTAATTTATACAATTAATCAAATAGATTAAAGGTAAACTCAATATTTCTTGTTTCTTGGCTTTATTCTTAACTTTAATTTCATTCACGGTGTCGTTGCCTTCATTTTGCTCTATGAGTTTCCTTACCTCTTCATAAGCGTTTTGTTTAAACCTTTTATCTTTGGGTTTCTTCTCCATTTGTTCATATGTTGTGGCTTTGTAATGGAACATTATTAATAATACATAATATATTTTAATTAAATTGATCCATGAATTCAGCTCATGCCGATTTCATCGGCGTGTGCTAATTGCCTCGCAATGTTATAGGTTCGTTTCCGGCTTTGTTTTTTAACATTTGCAATATCAGCATAACTATGATTATCAAATGGATTTAAGGAGCTTCTTTTTAAGTTGATTGTGGCAGTATCAAACATACTGACAACATCCCCAGCCTTTGGTATTCTTAAGTTTGTTCCTGTGTCTTCCCATAACTTCCAGTTCTAAAAATATTACCATTAGAGTTTAAGGTTCAGAGTTTAGGGTTTAGGGGTTGTTGTCAGGGGCCCAAATTCTACAAGGAACCCCTCGCCCCTTTTGGGATATGGCACCTGGATAGATAGGAGTATTGGGATCTAGAGTGTGAATAGGATTTTCCATACTGTATATCTTAGATTGGGGCGGGTGGTGCCATATACCCAAAAGGCGCAAAGGGGGTCCTAACTCATACTTCCCCTCTCCCCTCCTCTCCTCTCTTTCTCGTCTCTTTTGTTGCTCCCTCTCTCTCGCTCTCTCTGCATGTTTGGGTTTGCCAAGTGGCGGAAGGCCGAGCGGCTCTGGCTGGGCGAGGAGAGCTCCTCGCAGAGGAGCGCTTGGTCAGGCGCAAGGCGCGCAGAGCCGCAGTAAGCCCAGCCCGCCCCCCCCCCCTCCTTTCCCCCTCTCCTTTCCGAAGCCCACGCCACAATCAGAAGACCACCCCACCAAAAGGAGAGAGAGAGATGATCTCTCTCGATCGCGAGACGCCTCCTCGTCCAGAGGACTCGCTGCGAGCTCGTCCACCGGAGCCTCTCTGTCCATGTCGCAGAAAAGCGCGAAAGGGAAGAGGTCACACAGGATGATCTCTGCTGTGTCATTATCGCAGTCCTCCGCGACGGCTGCCTGGAGGAGTTCCTCTCGAAGAAGATCCGATGTTTAGAGAGAGCAAGGTCCAGCAAACTCTCGAGCGACGAGCGGGTGCTCGCTCTCAGCTGAGCTCTCCTCGACTTTCTCCAAGCGCTCCGCGAGCATGGTGCCTAGAGGCAAAGGGCTTGAGGGTCAACCAAAAACTGGTTTGTTCCCCAACTGCGGCAACTCCACCGTAGTAGGCGCTTAGAGCCCGCTTTTGAGGGCTTGGCCAACAAAGCGGCCCTTGCGGTTGGTCACGGAGTGCAGGAGCGAGGCTCCGGGCTTGATCCAGCCCTTGAAGTTGCTCTCCCCCTCGTAGACGGCCGAGGCATCGGCCTTGAACTCCAAGAGCAGTCCTCCGCGGGCCGGGCCGGTGGTGGCCAGAGAGAGAGAGAGAGAGACGCTGCCGCCGCTGCCCTCGCTCCTACGAGCTCTGGGCTGTTGTCGGCGACGGCGACAACCAAGGCCCTGGGCAAGGGCGTCTTGCCTGCCAAAGCTCTTCTCGTGCAAGGAAAGCACAGATGACCACAGCCCCCCCTATAGGCCCTACGGGGCGCACCCTCGGGCTCCAAGGGCTCCTCGAAGCTAGACGGGCTATACTCAAACGGCTACACCTATGCACTTTCAAATCTCGAGCTCTGGAAAGATCTCCTCCAGCCGGAGGTTGTCTTGCACTCGGGTCCTCAGAGACAAGCGGCGGGCTTCTCTCGCGAGTGTTGCTTTTTGGTTGCGGAGGGGTGATTTGTTGTCGGGATCCGGGCAGCACCTCGCGAACTTCCTGGACCTTCACCTGAGCATGTACAAGGGCCGAGGAAGGTGTGAAAAAAGCACATGTGGGGGGCGCCCCTCGCCTTGCGCCGGGTGAAGGCCTCGAGGAGAGGGTGCGGCGCCGGAGCGGCCAAAGCGGAAGCCGCACCGCTTGGGGCAGCCGCCTCGGCCTCGGCCTCGCGAGGCGAGGGGGGCACACTTTAAAGGCTCTAAACTCTAAACTCTAAATCGTGTCAGCGTGTCAGCGATGCCTCCGCCTCTGGCATCTTCCTCTCGAGCCCTGCACGAAGCGACGCACGGAGCGACTGCCCAAGCCCCCGCCCCCCTTTTCTCACACCCCCCCCCCCACCTTCGACGGCCCGAGGGTCCTAAAAACAGCTCTCTGACACCGCTGCTCTCTCTGTTGGCCATGCCGGGCCCCTTCTGGTCCTCATCTGTCTCGTCGAAGGGTTCCTCCTGGCGGTCTGCTCTCGTGAACATGGGGCAAACAGCTCCCGTCGTCTTCTCTCCTGGGGCATCTGAATCACAAACGCACTTTGACGTCTGACCCGCGCATCCGTGTTGGAGAACCTGCAGAGCAGGCACCAGGCGAAGGCCAAGAGAGGGGGGAGGGGGCATCGGACCTTCGGAGCTGTGCCGAGCTGGTAATCTGGTCCGGGCTGAAGTCCTCGTCCAGCTCGCTGCGATCCAGATCCTCAAAAGAGACGCACATGCAGAGGCCGCTCGGGTGGAGGCGCTCGGGCGGGCCTTTCCCCCCCACGCCTCGTCGTTCTCGAAGCAGCTGGTGCGGAGGCTCTTCATCCTCGGTCTGAGGCGCTATAGCGCAGAGCTAGCGCAGAGTTCAGAGCGGATGAGACAGCAGGATGTCGGCTGCGCTGTGCCGGGCTCCCGTGCTGAGAGAAGGAGGCCCTGGAGCAGAGCTCGATCACCGGCTTCCGCTCCTCGCCCGCCGCCTCCGCCGCGGGGGGCCGCCGCGAGCCGAAAGAGAGAGAGAGAGCCTGGCCTTGGAGATCTTGGCATCGAGCTTCTCCCAGAGGAGCAGCTGCTCGGCCTCCCGCGCTGCACCCGCGGTCGCGGTGGCCACAAAACGAGCTCTCTCCCTGTCCCTTCATTTTTTTTTCTCTTTTTCCTTTGGAAGCTCCATCCGCGCCTTCCGGTAGAGGAAGGTCAGGTAGTCTCGAAGATGATCGGCCTCCCGCGCACCACACCACGAGACGAACAAGAACGACGGGACGACGGAGGCGGGCGACGGACCGCCTCAATATCTGCCAAAGCCTTGCGAGTGGAGAGCCTCAGGGGACGCAACCCCCCCCCCCCCCCCTCCCGAACCGCAAAAAAAGGTGCCCCCTCCCCCTGCCTCTGAATGGAGATCATCCTCCCAGCAGGCTTCGATCAGAAGGAAAACCGGGGGGGTGAAGGGGAAGGGCTGTTGGCGCGCGCCTGGAGATGGTCTTCCGCAGGTCCCTGCTCCTCCGCTCGGATCCCAAGCAAAAGAGAGGCAGCAGAGAAGGACCCTCCCCCGCCGACTCTCCTCTGCCCGCCGGCCTGCAGTTTTTCACAAGCAGACAGCAGCAGCGAAACCCCGAAAGAGCGCCTCTGCCAGGCTCTTCTTTGAGCTCGGCCTCCGAGGATCACAACCGCGTAGAAAGCACGGGCGGTGCTGCTCCGCCCCGAGGGCGCGCGCGCGCGCGCGCCTGCCGCCGGCACCCGTGGACCCGCTCCGCCCGCTCCCTGGCCGCGACCTCGCACACTCGCAGCAGAATGGATATAGATGTGCGTTTGTGTGTGTGTGT